CTCCTTTTACTCACCTTTTCCATACTGGAATCTGGCGTGGAGATTAACTGTGCATCTCCGAACCGTCTCCCCAAACCTTCCCTTGCGAGGGTATACAAGGTTAACTGGGGCACAACATGGGCCAGTAGGCACTGCTGGAGAAAACCATTCCGCTCACTGGTGCTGGGGGCATGTGAACACCCAAGAGTGGAAAACCTATAGACAACACATGTCAAGAACATCCATTACTGTAAGCTAAATAACCTCTATTTATTTATTTAGAGTCAGTAATATGCTTGTTGGTTTACAAAACACAAAAATAAAGACAGTCTCTGCTCTGAATAAAATATTCTCTAAAAGACGCACAAAAAACAAAATATACAGAGAAAAACTGGATGTGGATATTAAAGCTGCTTTCTGTCTCATAATTATAATAAATTCACTTGCCCATATCTAAAAAAATCTCAGATATCATTGTGGAGTATCTTCTTTTTCATTTTTCAAGTACAAAATATTGTAAAATATTTGTTTATAACTTGCTAGATGCAGGAGTCAATACCAGAAATACCATTGATATCTCCTGAATTGAACAATATTAATTGATTATACGAATATTATCTTACAACAATCCTGTGAGATTCTGAATACTAAGGCCATTATTGTAACTAGCTAAGGCACATCTTAAAAATATAAACTGAATTTTGGGAGACTAGCAAATTAGCCACTCTATAGACTTGCCAAAAGCTATCAAAGAGAACTGTAACAATATTTTAAGAGATATTAAACAGTTCTAGATATAATTAATAAATATTAATTTTAGAAAAATACATTCCAAATTTGCATTTGCTAACAGAATGCCATGTTACCAGTACAATACATGCTTCATTGTGTAAGATGCAATTAGTCTAAACTATACAGTACCTTGAAAGTTAGCATCTGACAGCATTTACTACTCAGTGGTATGTAATCTAACATTAGAATAGGTTGTCCAGATTGGTAGAATAGGAGCTATCTTTGTGGTAATGGTAGGTCAATACTGTATCTCTGGTGGCTTCTGTGGTACACTTCAATAAATCCTGATTTGGTAAAAGAAGGTAAGGCATCAAGAAAGGGAATGCATGCAAACATTCTCCCTGTACTGTTTTGGTATTTCTGCAGTATGGTATGTACTTTTTCTACATTAAAATAAAAATCTTTTGTTTTCTTTACTTTTGTTTCAGAGGTATCCAGTGGTGATGTCTACTTACTTGGGAGTCATAGGTAGAGTTCTACTACAAAATGCAAGTTTTTTTTCACTGCTTCTGAGCCAGATGGCATGCGAGTGTGGTCAAGAGGTAAGAGGATTTGTCTTGGCATTTTTAAAAAGATACAATTTTAACCATAGTTTGCATGTTAAGGCAATATGAAATTGAGCATTCATCTCATTATTTTAAACCAAGGAAAGCCAAGTCAATTAAGTGTACCTCACTTTCATTTATATAAGAAAATATTTGGCTTTCAAATGTGACACATGAAACCATTCATTTAATTTTATACATTCATCTCACATTAGTACAAAAATAACTATTCCAAGGACCATGTTATTTGTACCTCTTTTCCTGGTTGTTTCAAAATGAAATGATTATAGTGTGTGCCTAGTAGCTCCCAGTATAATGAAAGCTGCAGGAATTTTCAATTATAACTGTTTTCTGAAACTTCATCTTTTCCAAAATTAGTCTCTGCTTGATTGTGGGTTTTTTCTTCTTTTGCAAAGTTTATGAGCAAACTTGTAATGTTGGCAGTTGTCTTTAACTTAGAAGCACTTTGGGCTCTCTCATTCCTTCATGAATTTTCCTAAAAAAACTTCGAGAAGGTTTTGTTTTGTAAAGCATTTTACCACTCAAGTAAACATCAATGTCTTTTTCAAGGGGAATCCCCTATATAGACATGATGTCCTTGAAAGAGTGGAAAACAAATAACATGGCAAATACATAGTGTGTGTTAGGACATCACAAAGAAGAACACAGTGCTGGTAAAAATGAGTGTTATATAGATATGTTGGCAGCAGAAGTATAAAACAGTAAGTAACAGGAAACAATGAGGTGTGCAGTAACTCCTCGCTTAATGTTGTAGTTATGCTCCTGAAAAAATGCTACTTTAAGCGAAATGATGTTAAGTGAATCCAATTTCCCCATAAGAATTAAGGTAAATAGTGGGGGTTAGGTTCCATGGAAAAATTTTTTGCCAGACAAAAGACTATATATATACACAGTATAGGTTTTAATCAGTTTAATACTGTACACGGCAGTGATGATTGTGTAGCTTGGTTGAGGTGGTGGAGTAAGTGGGTGGAAGAGGGTGGGATATTTCCCAGGGAATGTCTTACTGCTAAATGATGAACCAGCACTCGGCTGAGCCCTCAAGGGTTAACTTATTGTTGTTAATGTAGCCTCACACTGTACAAGGCAGCACGAATGGAGGGAAGGGAGACAGCATGGCAGAGAGAGACACACACACAGTGTGTGTGTGTGTGTGTGTGTGTGACTGACTGACTGACTGCATTGCCCCTTTAAGTACGCTGACCCCACTCTAAGTACACTGCTTTTTTAAGTTGATCAGCAAGTTGAGACAGCAGCTGCTGCCAGCAAGCTCCCTCTGTCCTGAGCCCCGTCGTGTCCCCTGCTGCTCTGTGGAGATGGCCAAATGGGGTAAAGGAGCAGGACGGGGACACCCTGACATTAGCACCCCTCTTCTGCGCCGCCCCCCCGCGCAGTCAATCTGTTCTGCGCTGTGTCTGAAATAATTATGACTGCATCATCATATCTAACACCAATTGAAGCCATCTTTGGAATTCATTGTATAGTAACTAATCACACACTAATGTGTGAATATATTGCACTGAGAGCAGAATAGGTTTGAGATCTGAGGCGCTGTCTCTCTCTCTCTCTCTCTCTCTCTCTCCCTTTCTTTTATGAGGACTTAGCCATAGTGTCTCATCTATTAAGCTCCTCCAGCCTAAACTCTTGTAACTCACTTTGTAGAGTGTGACAGTGAGATCAACACAAACGTCAGTTTGTGCAGCATGCAGCAGGATGCCTCCTAAATAAGGAAGAAATATTGAAAACTGATTGCACCAATGCTCTGCATGTTCTTATGGCTCCTTTTGTGCTTCTGGAACTAATATAAGGCCCTGATCTTTTCTACAAGGCCCTCAGTGGATGAGGGCCCAGCTTTTTCTATCTGTTCACAATCCCCCAGAATAGCTTAATCTAGAGTACAGCTCTTGGGAGTTGGATGTGTAAGGCCTTTTTGAGAGAAGGCTATCAGCTGCAGAATAACCCTCCTGCAGGTGATCAGGTTGGGTCTAAGATTGATAGCCTTCAAATCATGATGCAAAACTCACTAATTTATGAAAGGCTTCCTTTAATAATGAAGATTAGTAATAAACATAAAAAGGAATTAATAACAAACATTTTTAAAAGTGCCTAGTAAGCAAAAATCTACCAGCAGAGGTAATACAGATTCTCCAGTTCACTGTGGCCATTTTGCACTGCATAAGCAATGCAAAGCAACCTTAATGACCCCAAAGATGGCCAACAGAATATTCCCCAGGTGCAGGGGAACGTTCCACTGGTATACAGCTAGTGGAGATGGCTGTAGCTCCTCCTATTCCAGCCTCCACCCCACAATCCAAGGTAAAAGAAGGGGTATTTTGAGTGCCTTCCGAGGGCCCATTGGGGATGGGGTAAAGATTGGAGGGGCCATGGCAGAGCAGTGATCCGGTAAGACTGATCCTCCACTGGTATAAGGTTCCTTTTTTCTGTTCTTGTGTAGCCCTAATTTTCACCAGGGTAAATGGCTCTGAATCAGGGAATCTTTACGCTCCACTACATTGTTACTGAGAATCAGGGCTTGGAAATCTTACAGTTTTTGGAATCAAGATACTTCAGTGATTGTAGCTCAATAAATAAATTATATGTTTTTTAGGGTAGCCATTTAATATGAAATGGCATTAAATAACACATTCTGTCTAGTTGTACAGCAAATGTGGCAGTGTAATTGCATGATTCATAGATTAGGATATGGCATGTCCATGTATTTTGATGTGTGACATCAATTGTCTTTTTCTTCTCTCCTCCTACCTCGCTCCCCCAATAGCTACAGATAGATTTGAGGCTATTTAATATTTTCCTGTGACATTTTATCCAAAAGTACAGAATTACAGTTCTGACAGTTAAGGAAGCTGTGTGAACATTGGGCCTGGTGAAAATGGGGCTCAACACTCCCACAACTAACTGTAGCACTAGGGTTCTCAGAAGAGGTAATTATTTGTGAGAGTTAGTAATAGAATGGAGTATCCATTTTATGCCTTCTCTTTGAGTATGCTGCCTTTGTTGGACAGCTTCTCACCTGCTAATTTGCCAAACTGTTTTGTTTTTTTCTTCAGCTTTTTCTCTTCTGTTTCTTGCACCTTTTGTCCTTAGTCTCCTTTTCCCAGTACGTACATGGTCTACAGCAGGAGTCCACACAACCACTTTTTTGGTGGCCTCAGAGTGCAGTCAGCAACTCTTGCTCGTGACCGCTCTGACAAACCCATCTCTCTGTCCCTGCATCTCGCGGCCCTTCAGGAAGAGCCCGCCCTGGGGAAGGTGGGTCAGGAACTCACCAGCTGCCTGTGGAGTCCCAGGCTCCCTGTGCTCTGGCTGGGCGGGAGCGGGGCAGTTGCTCAGGAGAGCCCCCCAGCGACCAAACACGGCAGCCACCTCCACTGACAAGAACCGCCTCCAGTGCTGCACACACTGGGCCCACATGTTTCCAGAGGCGCTGCCTGGAGCCCCTGAGTAGGCTGCGTGGTGCCAGCACAAATACCAAGGTGGTGTATCTCACTTGCCCTCAGTAACAGCTATTCAGGAGCAACACCTGAGTGCTGCTTCCCTCCCTCCCCCTCATCTCTGCTCATGCTGTTGTGGCTGCAAAAAAAAAAATCTGTGTCCACATTTGAGAAATGCTTCTAGAATCACATTAAGTGCTGTTCATGAGATTCTACCAGACAAACTAAATCCTCATTTGAACAATATAGTTGAATTAGTTTGAATCTGACAGCTCTCCATATTTCATACTGCCTTTTTAAGATGGGGACAACACTGAGTCTCATTAGTTTCAAACTGCTTTACATTGTAATTCCCTAACTGGGATTTTGGTTTTCCGTCAAGCATCTGATCTGATGTGTAGAGTTCTGTTCTTTGGTAGCTCTGCACATTTTCCTTTTCTGCCAGGCAATCGGAATTTCCCTAACTGTGCTGTCCCATCAGTTTTATATTGTAATTTCTGAAAGTATTATAGCTTTGATGATAACACTTTGTTTAAAATGAATATGGATAGAATCAAGCACATATAATCACCGCCTATATTAATTACCTTCTCCTATAATGTATGGTATCTGACATTCCATACAGTCACAAAATAATGTGATGTCTATTGAAAGGCGTGTAAAAGTGGTTCCTCTATGTGAAATCAGTTTGCCAAAATTTGCTGGCAGATTTATGTACAGTAGCTCCTATACTGTTAGTAGAGTATATTCTGTGTTGCCATGCACTAAATATATTATTGCATAGAGAAAAGCTGAACTTTATTTACCCATCCACAGGGAATTTCCTGTGTTTTGATTTTTTTCATTATTATCAGCAGTCTCATTCAAAATTAAAATACTAGTGAAATATCTGAAAAAGTAAAACTCACATTTATTTCAAGAATAACACCTGGTTATATCACTGCTATTGTTTTATCCTCAGTTTGTTTAATACTTTCAAATTATGTTTAACAACATTAACTAGTGTGAGAAAATAAGGATTATAATGGGTGCAGATTGCAGATTTAATTATGGCGTTTCAACCTGCATCTCCATAAGTGTGAATTAAAAAAAAAAACGCTCTATCATACGCTAAATTAAGAACCTGATTTTTGTAGAGTTTCATTATCATGTATATTCAAGAACAAAAAAATGCAAGTCTCAACATATACCCTACCTCACTAACACTATTCACAATATTCAGCTGATTTCAGGACACGTTTCTTCATACTCTGTATCAAAAGACTGTTTTTAAACTGCACTAGGCTCATTCTTACTTTCAGGGTAACTGTACCCTTCCTTACTTGTCTGTTCTTGATTCTTAGCATGGCACCCACCCTCTCTGCCTCCAAACATACCAGCTTTATCTCCAAATTTGTCAGCTGCTTAACACTATCAAATGCTCAGTCTCCTCTGCCTCAAGACCTCTAAGAAGTAAGCTAATTAATGATGGATTGATTAATGGGCATATGGTGATACTTGATGATTACTACAATTGGGGGGGGAAATTGGTAATATTTGTATGTATCTAGTAATTTTGTATGTTTGATTGTGTTCCTCTCTCCCACAACTTCATGTGTCATGTGTTATTTTAGATTGTAAACTCTGTGGGTCTGCCATGTAATCTTTTGTGTTTGTACCATACCTAGCACGATGCAGCCCCAAACCCAGTTTGACCCTTTAAAGTCTGTTGTAATCATGTTTAATATGAATGATTTTCTTCCAATTCTCTCCAGCTATCTTAGTACACTTCAGACTGTACATCCTCCCCCAGGTGCTCTTAGAGTTTTGGGCTTATTTTCTTCCTCTGTCTTAGTTTATAGCCATTGTATTACAAGGCCAAATATCTTCCAACTACCCCCTCGCCCCCCTCCCCCCCCACACACACACTTTCTTGACCTTCATCCACTAAAGTCATCATGTCCCTTCACTCTTCACTTGGGCTTTTTTTGCTTACATTGCATTCAGATTAGCATCTGGGTTTATCCATCAATTGATCCATTCTCTTTGTCTGTCTCTCACCTTCCTTTTTTTCCCTTTTGGCCTGCCAGCTTGTGCTAGTTCTCTCTCGGTCCCCTGAGCCTGCTTCTGTTGAAGTTAAGGGGAGTTGTTTCATTGACTTCAATAGGAATAGGAATCTTCCTTATAGTGTCAGCAATTACTCTGATTCTTGAAGATAAATGTGCATGCTAGCTCTGAAGTTGAATCACATAATCACCTCAGATTGTTAAGGAAATGGGTTTAAAACAAAACAAAAAGAAAACACACACACACATATATATATACACACACACACACACACAACATCCAGGTCAGTCATTTGAAAGGCAAGCACACACCTGGGTGGAATTAACATTCCAAGGAACTGTAAGAAAGCAAAATGAAAGTAGAGGATGCACTTTCCTTCTTTAAATATACTGCCCAGCAGTTGTGTTCAGCATAACTGTTTACTCTACAATTGAAAATGCATACCTTTTCTAGTTTTTTAAGAATTTAATAATTCTTGATTTGCTTACAGTGTGGAATTATAGTATAAATTTACCATGAAACCATTGCTCAGAGGGTGAAAATATAGTGTATTTACCTAAAGTATTGCCTAGCATCCTAAAAGCTGCTTCTGTGCAGTGAGTTAATTCTTAATTGAAGAGTATGAATTCACACAGATAAATCTGAAACTTTAATCTATAGATTCTGAGTAGGAGTGGGGAGGTGATTTTACTTCTGTATATGGCATTGTTGAGACCAATACTAGAGTACGTCTGATTCTGGTGTCCACATTTTTAAAGGGATATTGAAAGATTGGAGAGGGTGCAGAAAAGAGCCACAAAAATGATACCAAGGCCCAAGAATATGCCTTACAGTGAACGACTTAGAGTTCAGTCTGCTTAGTTTATCAGAAAAGAGAATGAGAAGTGACTTGATTACAGTGTATAAGAACCTCAATGGGAGAAAAGACTGGGTACTAAAGGGCCGTTTAATTTAGATGAGAAAGGTATAACAAGAACCGAACCAATGGCTGGAAGTTGAAGTCAAGACCAATTCAAATTAGAATTAAGGCAAAGATTTTTCACAGTGAGATAATTAATCACTAGAACAAACTACCAAAGAAAGTGGTGGTTTTTCTATCTCTTGAAGTCTTGGAATCAAGATTGGATGCCTTTCTGAAAGATATGTTTGGCCAACCGCAAGTTATTAGGCTCAAAACAAGGGTAAGTGAGAGAAATTGAATGGCCTGCTTTATACAGGAAATCAGATTAGATGATCCAAATTAAGAGCTAAATTAAAATAATTGAATTTCTAATAACCTGAATGTGTATATTTCAGTTTATGTGAAACATGTCTCACTTTTACATATACACCTCTACCCCGATATAACGCTGTCCTCAGGAGCCAAAAAATCTTAACGCGTTATAGGTGAAACCGCGTTATATCGAACTTGCTTTGATCTGCCGGAGTGTGCAGCCCCGCCCCGTCCGTCCGTCCCCCACGGAACACTGCTTTACCATGTTATATCCAAATTCGTGTTATATCAGGTCGCGTTTTATAGGGGTAGAGGTGTATTCAGATAAAGGGAAATACTTGCCTACATGAAGAGTTTAACACTGCATTTGTAGACTATATGTAATACTGTGGCGGGGATTTGTTTTTGCAGTTGGACCAGCTTCTTGGTAACGTGATTGAAATGTGGGTTGACCGCATGGATAATATTACCCAACCAGAAAGAAGAAAGCTTTCAGCTTTGGCATTACTTTCACTTCTGCCATCAGACAATAGGTGAGCAAAATTTAATAGATATCATTGTTTGTCACTAATGTTAAAACAAATTTAAAAGATCTTGCCTGATGATTTTTAAACATTTTTAAGAATATACTGATAAATAATTTTGCTATATCTGTTGTTAGTGACCAAAGAAATGAAAAAGCTTAATATAAAATAGAATGAAATAATTCTTCTCTTTTTGAGTTCTGCATAGCTAGTATAATTTGTCTGCTTGTTTCTTGGACAGCATTACTTGAACATATTGAATATATGAAGTAGATAATTCTACTTCAGGTTCCCCCCCAGTTTAAAACTAAAGAGTTGCTGCTTCTCTCCTCCACATTTAAGTAGTTGGATCAATCTGCTCCTTAGGCTTTTGATGTTCTCTTGTGAGTACAGTATTTGTTTGGTTTACTTCATATATAGGATTTTTTTTTCCAACATGACAATGAGAAAAAAAAATGCATGTGAAGATGTATGTGAACCCAATAGGTGCAGCTCATTTTGCTCCTTTTACTCTTGGGACCTATCATGGAGAAATAAGGCATTCTAAGTAACCTTTGTCTGTGCATATGGAGGAATTGTCACCACCACATGATCTGCCATGGACTCTGAGCCTAGGACTCAGTTTGGGAACATGGGTCCAAATCTGATTCAGCTATCCCTGTGTGTAGAGAAGAACTGTACCCCTCCATCCAAGGTTTGTAGTTATTACCACCCTAATTCTTTTTTGAACTCAGTGATACTTTCAGCCTTCACAACATCCCCTGGCAACGAGTTCCTCCAGTTGACTGTATTTTGTGTAAAAAGTACTTACCGTATATACTCGATCATAAGCCGGTTCGTTTATAAGCCGACCACCCCAAGATGGATAAGTAAAAATGGAAAATTTTTATAACCTGTTCATAAGCCAACCCTATAATTCAGGGATCAGCAAACTTTGGCTCCTAGCCATCAGGATAAGCCACTGGTGGTCCGAGATGGTTTGTTTACCTTGAGCGTCCGCAGGCACACGGAGGTAAACCTAAGTAAACAGAGTGTCCCAGCGCACCAGCTGGTTACCCTGACGGGCCGGGACAGCAACTGGTGGGGAAATTTTTCATGGGGAGAAGCTGGGAGTCAGAAGAGTAACCCCTGTGACCACCCCCCACATCACCCCACCCCTAGCCCGGGACCCCCACACTCTCCCCATCCCATCCCTTCCCACCTTATCTGGGGAGAGCTATGGGAGGATGTCTCTGACCTGGCTGGAGCTGCTCCGGCAGGCTGCGCAGCACGGCCACAGCCTGCTCCGGCAGGCCAGACCAGGTGGCACGGCCACAGCCTGCTCCGGCAGGCTGGGCCAGGCGGTGCGGCCACAGCGTGCTCCAGCGCCCGGGCGGTGCGGCCACAGCCTGCTCTCGGGGGCGGGACCAAGCGGCACGGCTGCAGCCTGCCAGCCCCGGACCTGCAGCTGCTTTGGAGGCTGGGGAGAGAGCAGCGTGGCCAGAAGCAGAGAGACTCTGGCCCCGCCTCTTCCCTTCTGGCTCTGCTGGCTGTGCTGCCTCTCCTTGCTCCCTCTGTTGGCGGGAGAGGCTGTGTCCCACCTCTCCCTCTCTATACCCGTTCATAAGCTGACCCCCATCTCTGGTGCTTCCCTTTTTTACTAAAAAAATTTGGCTTATCAACAAGTATATACGGTACTTGGGTTTCTTTTAAACCTGCTGCCTATTAATTTCATTGGGTGACCTCTAGTTCTTATGTTATGTAAAGGGGTAAATAACACTTCCTTATTCACTTTCTCCACACCATTCATGATTTTATGGACTGCGCTCATATTCCCATTCGGTTGTCTGTTTTCTAAAATGAACAGTTCCAGTCTTTTTAATCTTTTACCATGTGGAAGTTGTTCCATACTACTAGTCATTTTTGTTGCCCTTCTCTGTATCTTTTCCATTTCTTATATATCATTTTTTGAGATGGGGCGACCAGAACTACATGTAGTATTCAAGGTGTGGGCATTCCATGGATTTATATAGTGGCATTATAATATTTACTGTCTTATTATTACATCTTTCCTAATGGTTCCTAACATTCTGTTAAGCTTTTTTGTCTGCTGCTGCTGCACAGTGAGTGGATGTTCTCAGAGAACTAGCCACAGTGGGTCCAAGATGTCTTTCTTGAACGGTAACAGTTCATTTGGCCCCCCCATCATTTTGTATGTATAGTAGGGATTATGTTTTCCAATATTTTCCCATTACTTTGCCTTTATCAACACTGAATTTCCTCTGCCATTTTATTGCCCAGTCACTCAGTTTTGTGAGATCCCTTAGTAAGTCTTTGCAGGCTGCTTTGGACTTTACTAGTTTAAGTAATTTTGTATCATCTGCGAACTTTGCCACCTCACTGTTTACCCCTTTTTCCAAATCGTTTTTGAATATGTTCAACAGCACTGGTCCAAGTACAGATCCCTGGAGGACACCAGTGTTTACCTCTCTCCATTCTGAAAACTGACCATTTGTTCCTGCCCTTTGTCTCCTGTCTTTTAACCAGTTCCTGATCTTCCCTCTTATCTTGGTTTGGTTAAGAGCCTTTGGTGAGGGACCTTGTCAAAGGCTTTCTGAAAGTCCAAGTACACTATATTCACCGGATCACCCTTGTCCACATGTTTGTTTACCCCCTCAAAGAAATCTAGTAGACTGGTGCAGCATGATTTCCCTTTACAAAAGCCATGTTGACTCTTCCCCAACATATCACATTAATCTAGGTGTCTGATAATTCTGTTCTTTACTATAGTTTCAACCAATTTGCCTGGTACCAAAGTTAGGCTTACCAGCTTGTAATTGCCAGGATCGCCTCTGGAGTCTTTTAAAAAAATTATCACATTAGCTATCCTCCAGTCATCTGATACAGAAGCTGATTTAAGTGATGGGTTACATACTGCAGTATGGATCCTGGACAATGGGATGGATCTCTCAATAAATTGACCCACTCTGTTCACTCCCTCTGAAGCATCTGGAACTGGCTATTGTCCAAAGTTAGGATACTGAGCTAGTTGGACCATTGGTCTGACCCAGTATGGCCATTCTTATGTTATGTTATGTTTGTTAGAGAGTAAAGAATACACTCAGTGCAGAATTCCATGATATGTTAATTTGAACATAGATCTCAATTTTGAAATGATTTTTCAGTTTTACACTGTACCAAATTTTAAGTTTTACAGGTGCCAAAGAATTTGCATTGACAACATGTAGTTGTATAGAAGTTGCCATGTGGAAAGCTGGAGATTTTGGCAGCTGGTTAGGGGGCATTTGGACTTTCAGCATCAGGAAGGAGTTGGGAGATTATTTAAGGTTTGAACATCTGTTAGGTGTTCAAAGCTTTTGGCATTAGGGAGTGAATGTTCTTCCTCTTCCATTCTCCTTTGTTGAGCAGGGCATAGCTGATTTATCTTTAGGGAGGGATGGCGGGTTGAATACCTAATATATTATAAATGAACAAAAAAAATGGAAAAACATAAATTCCTCCCCCTGCAGACCACGATAGCAACCAGCTACATCATTGCCCCTTCCTCATTATGCCTCACTGCATCCACCAGTGGTAGATAAGTACATAAACTGGGTGTTTGTTTGTTTGTTTGTTTTGCTAAAATGATGAACAGTGTAATAGCTGGCATTGAAATTATCACTGTTGGGATTCATAGTTATCACATATATTTAGATGAGAAAGGGCATTCACAGTTACCTGAAAAATACTGTTCAGTCTGCCTTGAAACTCAGGAAATCAGTATAGCATAGAGTTAAACTTAGTTCACAATTTTTTCCATGAGCCCCATAATTTTTTTTGAATGCCGCCAAATTCTACAGTCAGTTCTGTATCCATGAAATTTTAGAAAACAAAAGCCTCATCATAGCTCCCCAAATGGGGAGCATTTGGGTGAATAGCTTAGCCCAGGAGGGATCATTGCTTTTTTTTATAATGAACAGAAGCTTATCTCCAGTCCACCAGGGCAAGGCATCTAGCCATAAGTCTGAACCAGCAGGTTGACTGCCTCAATTGCTTCTTGGGAAATGCTCTTAAAAAAATTTCAGGAGATATGCAAAGAATAGAGTTTCGCATGGTGGACTTATTTGTAACCAAATTCAAAATTTAGCTGAAGAGGTTTTGTCGCAGATTCAGATTGTTGGGAGTTCTGTCAGTGGGTGGAATCCTCGATGCATGTCTTTCCTCCCTCAAAGAGTATCTGAAAGACATGAATGGAGGGAGCAAAACTTAGGTTGATTGCTTTAGACTGGTCTTGCCAGTCCTTGTACTAAGAACATTTTGAACCACAGTATCTCATTCTGCTTCCAGCTGCTCCAGATTTCCTTTTGCAAAGATCAGACCTTCCTGGTGATTCTTAAAGATGAATTACTGGTCAGCATCAGTCATAGACATGACTCCAGGGTAGATTGAAGACGAGTCTGTTGGGTCCCCAGTCCATTAGTTAGCAGTTTCTTTTTCATACCATTAGAGAAATTGGCTGTCTACCCTAGCAAATGATTGTGCTTGGAGGATCAGTTTAGTGTTAGGAAGATTTGCCTACTTTCCTTAAATCTGTTGACTCATATTTTTCTTTCTTTGGGGAGCCCTCAAGATAGTGTTCCTAGGAAGGAATTACCCTAGCCTGGTATCTGGGGAATTAGCAGCCCTGTTTTGTAAATTCTCTTTTATTGCTTTTGCTTAGGTAAAATTATTTTTAGAACAAGGTCTGGGATATTCAGTTAACATTTGTTTGGCCTAATCCCAATTCCGCCGTTTCCCAATATTTCCCTTTTAAAGCAAAAACCAAAATAAAGTTGACATTTATTGAATTTACTTAGAGCTTTAAAGTTTTGTCTTTCAGCATAACTCAAGAAATCTGATTCCCTTATGTGTAATCTAATGTTTTAAGAATTGACAAAAAGCCTGTCACTCATCATTAGCTAATGGGATATAGTCTTGTATCAAGCAGTGTTATTAGGCTAAAGGGGGTCATTTCACTCCTTGCTGTGAGC